CGCTGAGTAACATTTCAAAGAGGCATCATCCTAATTGCTTGCTAATGAGTAGACAGTTGCGGGGTTGTGCACGCGCTCGTACACCGACGAACGCAAACACGCGGCTCTGACTTGAGCAGAATATATTTGCGTGTCCTCGTTCAAACCTCGGCAGGAGATGAAGGTGCTTGGAGACGGTGTCGTGCAGGAGGTCTGGTCCTTGATGAGGTGTGCGGTCTCAACCAGAAATAGACATTAGCAGCGGAGATAATTGGCCATCAGATTGGAGCCTTCCATCGCTGCTGTGGTCTGTTTTTGTCAGGATGTAAATCTATACATGCGGTGGTTGAGGTCACACCGAGGACAGAGAGACGGGTTAGAATTCAGCGTTTTCAAAAACATCAAAGACTTCCTGCACACGCTGCAGGAATCTGTTATTCACAACTGTGAATGTAATTTTTCTCACCCTGGCTGCATTTTTTTAGCTGGTCCTTCTCCCAATCATGGATTCCCTTTTTTTTTTTTTTTTTTTACCCATATCGCTGCTGCCGTACATTCCACTTCAAAGTCAAACTTTCATCAGCTGAAATGGTTTCTGCTTGTACTTTGATACACTTGTAATAATGAAAAGTTTCCTTTTGATGCTCCTGTGAAATGAAGTCTATAAAGCATTTCGAATGTTGTGAAACTCTTGTCAGCAAGTCTTACCACACAACCCCAGACGCACACATGCACAAAAAATGAATGAATGCTACATAATGATGGCGCACACTCTTGTTTTGACACCACATTTCGCTTCATTTCTACAATCTCTTCGTCTCTCGCTATTGTTGCAGCGGAGTTACCTCAGACTTGTTTGCAGGAACCTCTGGTTGTATTATTTAGAATGCAGGCATAAATTAATCATTCTCCAGGAGAAGCCTCTGAAGCAGTCTGTACTGCTTAAAAATAGTAATCAAATATTTATGGTTACATATTCATCAATGCATATTTTAGGAAGCAATATATGGGCTATGAAGAGCATCTACTGGACCTTTAAATACCAACGAGGCAAAGCATTGTGGTATTAACAGGTTAAGTAGTGTATTATCCTGGAAAACTTTAAGGGTCAAATCTTTATTGCCAGACAACTAAGTCCAAGCATCTTGTGGGGTGCTTCCTGTCAGCAGTGTTACCAACAAAGGAGTACAAGGAGAGAACAATCACGAACCAGCGATGAAGTGTTGAGAGACGTGCTGAATAAGTCCATGGCTGCTCCAATTTTCATCTTAGAGGATCCTGTGCTACGGTCTTGGTACCAGATACAACAGGGCACCTTCAGAGGCATTGTAGAATCAAACCTTTAGTCACTTGGAGCATTCATGTGAACGAGCATAGTAGACAGGGCTGGTCCGAAACTGTACAACCAATATACGGTCTAATATTTTGTAGGGTCATCTTGTTTCACCAAAATAAGTCTGGACCATCAGGGAATGGACATGGGACCCTTTTAAGGGCCCTTTGTTGTCTGGCACTGGGCCGTTGGCAGCAGATCCTTTAGGTCCTGTGGGTTGAATGGTGAAACCTTCGTTGTTTGTTCTGGTGCATCACGTGGAGGCCCTTATCGATACCACTAAATTCTTGTTATCCTGAAATCTTTCTTTCACAATAATCATGTAGAGAACATTGTTACCACACTAGCTCGGCTGAACACATCCTGCATTAATGCCGTGTTTACACCAAAAGGGATCAACTTTTTGGTCCAGTTGTTTAGTTCATATCCCAAACTTATTTCTTTTTTTCTTTTTTATGAAGGACTAAGTCCGTTTTGTCAAATCCCAGTTGTAATTATGACTTAGATGTTGGCTTAATTGCTGTTTGTGGGACAAAAAAAATGTATAATTGCAGTAACTCTAATGATGTGAATGCTGTATTGACTGTATTTTTATCACACAGACGTATGACATGAGTTCAGTATTGATCTCATAGGGCCTCCTTGAGCCTGGTCTCTTCCTGCTACAAGTAGTTTGTTTCTCACCAATGCTGCAAATACAATAAAATCATATATGATCACATACAATAAAGTAAAACAAAACACAAAACAGTCAACAAAAACAAAAAAACTAAAGCTACAAAAACAAAACTTGCTTAAAGAGAATCGAGGGAATCCTTGGATTTGTTGGGTTTTCATATATTTATTGTGTCAAACTGTAGCTCTACATTAGTCTGGTTAATCTCTATTCACAGTGCTGTGGGGTCTTGGCTATAATGTTTATATTAGCTAGGGTGAGTTCCATAATTTATAATACCTAAAGCGTCTTAGCTTTATTATTACATTAGTTTGGTTTTTCTCCATAATGATAAGACTGTAGGAGCTGACTGAGTCCATTTATTATAGTTCGATAAAGTAGCATTTCATGTAACCGTTGTAGGTTTTCATCTCTAAAATGAATTAATTGAGTAAAATCACCCTGTAAATGCCACTATAGGGTCTTGGCCCCAATATTTACACTTGTTGTGTGATTTTGTAACACCAATCATTATTTTTTTTTACTGGGTGGTACTTTGATGCAACAGCTTTTGTCTCAAATGTGTTTTATAAATAGAAAAAAACCCATTATCTAAGTATTTTATCTTGTTATATTGCATGCTTTAGGATCTTATTTATTTGACTGAATGTATTTTCATTATGTGTCTGTTTTCTTTATTGTAAAGCACTTTCAAAGTTTAAATAACATCACTTCAAATCAAATGCGCATACATGCTAATGAAGAAAAGGACCAAGTTGTTACTGGAATGAAAAGCTAAAAAAAAAAGGTGTGATGAGTCATTTATAGGTGGAAAGTAATCTTTAATTCCGCGCACAACAAGAAAAACAAAAAGTCAATCCTCAGTATGTGGCCCTGCAGGTCTCCTGTTAAGTCTTTGATTTGTGCTCCTAAATGCAGTGCTGCTGTAATTTATGCACTCCAGCAGAAACAGGACAGATCGAATAAACAATATTAAAGATGGTTGGTAACCTGTTTAAAATTGTAAGCATTTACTAATTTAGCCTCAGCACGTGCAGGCTTTTACTTTTCCAATTCAAGAACTGTTGTTTAACAATAAACAACTATGGAGTTTATTGAATAGAATCAGTGGCATCAAAAGTGGAAGAATCAAAGTGAAGCCTTTGGCTGAATAAAAATCATATTTCATAGTGTTCCTGTGATTTTCTTTTAAAGAAGTGACTGGTAGTTGTAAATAGACAGAAACCACATCTCACTGCCTACACACATAAATATGACAGGACATGATAGATACACTCATCATATACTGTACATGTGTCGTCAGTCCTAATTTTGTATTCATTTTCAAGTTACTGTTATTGTTTATTGTCCAAATATTTGGGAAAATTCAGTTTTTAAATTTTTTTGTCGTTGGACTTCTTGATTAGTTTGTTTCAAACATGTAAAACCACAGTTTGTGAAAGTAGTTTGGTTTAACCAGCTCACAGCAGCAGCTCCCAGTGTTAACACGTGATGTTAATAAAGTTCTATCATATCGAACACCAACCTTCATTCCACTATACGTATCCTGTCCAATAATAATAATGTTAATCACCTTAAGATCTTTAGTCCTTTGAGGTAAAAACCACCAGTGTTTGTACAACAAAAACTACAACGACAACACACACACACACACACACACACACACATCTGCTGGGCCTAGAGCTACCTGTTGTGCTGAACAGGCCAACAGTGGCCCAGTGTTTCTGGTTATTTTGATAAAACACGTTTTTTTGTTTGTTTTTGTTTTAATCTTTTGAGGTGTTTTTTCATAAAATAACTGCAGATATGCATTTTTTAATTTAAAAAAGGAGGAGGACCAGCAACCTGGACCGATATCAAACAGGGGACCTCCATTGCTTGCAATGGAACAGTGTGTGTTAATACAAATTAATTGGCCTTAAGTCTTTAAAAAGGTGTAACTGTAAAGTGTTAAGCATTTAAACATCTCACCCTTACATAAATACAACACACTCTGTGTCTGTCTAAGCTCATCGCTCTCCAAACTTTCACCCACTGAGTATCGACTGCTGTCTCTGATTCACACACACACACACACAAATTGCTGCTTTCCTGCTACTTCACTTCAGCAGGGGGAGAATCTCCTCGTCACATTTCTGCACAGCAAAATCAAACTCATGGGCTCCCTGCCTGCACTCAGCATTAAACATATGGCATAAAAACTGTGCATGAAAGGGCTTAAATGAAGGCTACAGTATATAGTATGTAGATGCAGATAAAGTACAGGACTTTCAGTGAACGACAATAGGGCAGCAGCAACCCTCATAAACGCTGTGTTCACAAGCAGCAAAGTGTGTTTTTACTCCAATTATTTCAGCACACTTTCATGCATTTTAATCCTGTTTTTCTTGTGTGGTTACTAAATATCAGTTCAGCTTTAGACACGCTGGCTTTGATGTTCTGCATGAGCCTAAATATTTTTTTATATACTTTATCGTTCCCATGGAGCCTCTGTTGTTGACGTTAGCAGGCAGCTTATGGGAAGCCTAGATAAAGCCAAACTGCCTGTCCACGAGCACAAACAGAGAGACGCTCAGATCAATATATGATTTATAAGCAGCCACAGTTGTGCATCGGCCCCTTGTGGAGCACGCAGCGCCGCCAGTCAAGCGCAGGTTTCGTCATCCATAGGAATTAGTTAATATTTGATGATGATGTTAAAAGCTCCGGTGAAATAGCGGCTGGTAGAGTCAGCATTGTGCTGAATGCTGATATAAGCATTTTGCAGCTTCATATACAAGATGAGACCACTCAGAGGTTGAAATATTACATAAACGTAGTGGCAGCTGTTGTTACTGCTTGAGAAAAACTCCAAATTCCAACAGTTTATGAGTGAATATTGTTCTGTGATGAAATGAAAATGGTATCTACCCAGACAAGTTCAGCTGGATCGCAACCAATATTTGACATATTGAGACCCACCGTCTCAGAATGTTCTAAAACATACTTTTTTCCTGTTTGTTCTCGTTACAGAGGGAGAGACTGCGAAACATCGAGAGGATCTGTAACCTGCTGAGGAAGGTAAGGACAAGTTCTCAGTATCATCGGTGACAAGCTCAAGGCTAGAGTATGTGCTGTAGTGAGAAAGTACTTGTAATAAGCTGGAAACAAACACTGAAAATTCAAACAGTGTGCCGATGATGCCACACTTTTCCAATATCTCATTTAACTATAAATCAAGGAATGATTGTCTGTCTGTGTGTCTGTTCTTCAGTATCTTCAACTGTTCTTCCAGTCTAGTGCAGACTTGGAGTGCATGTTGCTTTGGGCCTGAAGTCGTGTAGCGTTGAGCCTGAAGTTGTTTAGATGTGGGGTGATCTCAGTTTTGGTTTCCTCAGGACCCTTTGGCTGCCTGTGGGCAGACCTTCAGTTGCCCCTTTTTCAAGAGCATCAAAGACAAATGTATGAGTCACCTGCCTTCAGGCAGATTGGACTGCTCATCCAATCTGCTTCAGACTGTGTATTGTTGGGGACCTGAGGAAGTGCATTGTGGAGTTTCACGTTGTTTTGATTAGCGATGGATATTTTAATTTTTTTTACGTCAGCAGGTCTTTGTCTAAGTCGGCCCTTTCGTAGCGCAACATTATCAAAGGTAAAAGTATGATGGCACATAAAACTGATCTCCTATATGTAGATTTTGTTTTGTTTTGTTTTGTTTTGTTTTACAAGAGATGTGATGATTGATGACACCGTGCATGGACACAGCGCCCCCTTCAGGAGACAGAGAGAGTGAACGTTTAGTGTCTTGCCTATTCCAGACGTGCACTCCGCAAAACTTAGTAATTAAATGATCCTGAAGAAACGCTCTCTTGTCTTGCCTATGACAGCCAAATGACAATAAACTTGATTTGATATGATACGCTTTTTACACAGAAATGGCTCATAAATTATCTACATTTTTAACTGAACCTAGCAGGGAATTACTCATTTTTATCACGTGGGACTCCCACTTTGGAGTCTTGATCACCTTGTTGGCATTTATTTATCAGTTCCAGCTGACAGTTAGTTACTTTATTCAGCTTACTAACACAGTCTGCTGTCATCTGTTGATGTCAACACAACCTTGGTGAGAAACCTGAAGTTTCACTGCGTTGTGCTGGGTCTGGAAACTGATGAGACAGCAATTCCAAAAGAAAAGTTTGCCAACTTGTTTTGCCACAACCGTACACTTTACGTGTGCTACAAGTGTAGCCAGGAAAAAAATATATCCTGCGGCAATCTGCTACATTACAAAGTTCAGTGTCGCCATGTCATAGGTAATGGCTTTTAAAAGAGAATGAAAAGCAAACGTATAAGTCAGTATCAAGGGCAAGATTGTAGAATGTTGTCACACACCAAAGACATCAGTTCACCTGCTGACTGTGACATTGGTCTTTGCTGAAGCTAACATGTCTACTATTGTAGGCCTCTGATTGGACACATAACTGCAAATAACTAATATCAGAGAACTCTTTTGAATGTGCAGTGTTTAATCTGACTCACTGGATGCAGGATGTGGATATAAGCCTGCCATTGGGCGCTCATTTCATGCAGCTTTGTCCTCTCTCTCTCTACACCTTCCTTTGTCCTTCCTTTCTCCGTTTTACAGTTTTCTGCATTATGGGAAACCACAACAAGTAGATTCTCTATGTAGCACCACACTGAACCTTTAGGTTTCACAGAGGATTTGAATTGTGCAGTGAGGCATCCCTGCTCGTCTTTTCTTTATGGTGGAATATCCATTTAAATCACAGTGTTTGTCTCCCTGCATGCAAAACGTTCCACCAAAATATTTGTAACGGTGACTATTTTGCGGGAACACTGAAGCTGCGTCCTTCACTTAGCGCCGTAGACAACGACTCTGTTTAGTTTAAAGAAATACAAAAAAGCCAAAGTGGTCTTTTCCTCTTTTAACAGAATGATAGTGAGAAACAGCCAGGCCGTTATGTTCTACAGTATGGGCAGGCACAGCGAGACTATGCAGTATTAAACATGTTTTGACTTCATGCATCTGTCATACGTTTGAGCCATATTGCACATATTTATATCCTCTAAATGTTTACTGCTTGCAGCACTTGATTTCTGACTTACTTGAGTTTGTCGAGCTGCATATCACTATTCTACAGGTCTAGCCTGAACAGTTCAGTTTTCTAATGAATTTTTGATTTGCACAGTGATGCTTTCTTTGTCGTCTTGCCTCATGTTGGACTGACATCAAAGGGGAGACAGAGATTGAGAGGTTCTGTGATGTGCTCTGCAGAGCCAGGCTGTCTGCTTCAGTGTGTGTGTGTGTGTGTTTGTGTGTTTGCCTTCAGGACTCAGTATGATGATGAGAAGAGGCCTCCTCCCAGCTTCAATGTGACATCTGTTTTCTCCCTGCACCTCTCTGAATCTCGCACACACTGTCTGCATTTGTGCATGCAAGTGTGTGTTTTTGTGCCTATGTGTCTCTGTTATGCTGGAGGTTCATTGGTTGAACAGCTGATCTTGGTTATCAGTGTTGTCAACTCGAACCCCCAGGCCCTCCACTGGCCCCTGGAGACGACATTTTCCCTACAGTGCTTATTCAGAAACAAATGCACACACAAACACATCCAGATGCACTGTCCTTGCAGCTGTGACCTACTGTACAGGGATCATTAGAGGTGGCTGCAGAGATGCTGCCACAGTGCAGCTTTAAACAGACTACCACCAAATTTCAAAACTTGTGAATTAAAATCACTGCAATCAGTACTTATCTTAATGAAAGAACAGGAACCAGAGAGCTTAATATATCACCAAAACCTGCATTAAATCCACAACTTTTGTAAACTATGTTGTTTTTTTTTACACCTGTATTGTACACATTGTACATTGTGCGCCATCATCAGTAACAGTTACCCCTTTTCTACCAAAAAGAACCAGGTGCCAGTTCCATGCTGGTGCTAGGGCCGGTGCCTAGTTGGTTCCAATCAATTCACCAACGTTCCCTGAATGCCCCACACTGCAGGCTGTAGTAGCTGTTGTTGGTGGCTGCGGTGCTCAGATCAGTGTGTGACCAAAAACGACTTTAAAAAGAGTAAACTAGGGTGTTCTAATGTCAGATGTTTTCAAAATGAAACTGAGTGATTTTTTTCTCGTGGTGTTTTCTATGAGCGTAATAAACAGCACATGTAGGCACATTCCATTTTTCACGAGAACACCGCATATCTAAGCGTAAGTACAGCAGTACACCGAAGTTACAAAAGTACTGTTTTCCACCACTGTGGTGCTGCTGGTGGGACACAATTGTACTGGATTTCAGGGCACACCAGTGTGTGCAAAACGTCAAAGTGTCCCTGGACTCATTCCAATGCATCTGCGATCGGACCAGAGAAGTCCTGGCGAAAAACGACACAAGTCACCGGTTGTGTGTCCCATTCATTCATCGTGGTGGTCACGATAACCTCTGCCCCCAGTCCCAGCCCCTGATGTACTCAGCGCCTTTTCTCTGGCCCAGCCAAGAGTCGGTGCCTGAAAAGCACCAGTTTTGAGAGCCCAGGGCCGGTGCTTTGGTGGTGGAAACACCAAGAACTGGTGCTAAGTCAGGCACCGGCACTGAAGTAGCACTGGAACCAGTTTGGTGGGAAAGGGGTAAATGGGGTCTCATCTTCAAGAATTTGACATGCTATGTTGGTTTGTGCTACATTAATTAAACAAAGTTCATGTTCTTTTTAGAGGTAGTACTAAATGAGACGGCCTAATCCCTAAACTATACTTTGTATAGTTTTGTTGCACCTTTGTATCTAAGGTGTCTCTTTGATTTGGAGGTTAGTTTTACATCTTTACCGCTGCTTTTACCTTAATCTTACACATTCACAGCACCATCCACGCTGCTTTACCACACTGTCCAAGCAGTATCAAAGTCTGCTGATGTTCCCATATTGTTGATGCCAACAAAGATGTTCTGCTGCTGCTCCATGTCAAGTCCTTTCACCTGCACGTCACTGACAGGGTTTAATTCAGGTACTGCTTTGAAAGTTAGCCCGTGCATGGGACAAAAAAAGAAAGAAAAAAAGCAACAATAAGCTGCGTTCAGTTCCTTTTTTGATCCAGTTCACTGTTAGCAAAATACCTGGATTCTCTAAGATCTGAAACTACTGAATGTCTTTTCTTTCTTTGTGCTTTATATTGGCGTCAAGACAAAGAATAAACATTCAGGTGACACGTTTCATTTTTAGCCCGTGCAGACTGTCAGATGCGTTGCTTATAATGGCAAATATCACTAGCAGCAGATTATATCAGCTTTCAGTATTTAAAGTGAAACTTTAAAGGGATAGTTTGAGGTCTTTGAAGTGGGGTTGTATGAGGTACTACTTACATGTTGTCAGTGTATTACTTACAGTACATGGCAGTTGGCATGCCCCATGTTTGGAGAACCAGACAGGAATAAAGCAATGTGCTGGTGTGGACAGGGTCAACAGCAAAACATATTTTATCTATCATTATCTAAAAATATCTATTTGAATGCACACTATATTTATAAAATAGACGCAGCATGTAATATTTTAATAAAATCTATTCAATAATTTTAAGATAGAGAAATAGGTCATTGTTTTTTCTAACACACAGCATCTTTACTACATCATGGACATCATATAGTGACCAGGTATGCACTCAGTTGTAAATTTAATGTGTAACTTAAGAGTGGGGTCATAGACCAGAAATCACAAGTCAGAAAGGAGCGTGTCCATCATTTGCATTGTGTAGAGCCACACATCTGTGACCTAGAGAGTTAAAGAGGTTGTCAGTAGTGCTTGTGGAATGTTGTTCCAATCTTGAGAATGTTGAAGAGCTTGGGGAAGTTGGACAGGATCACATTGTAGAACAGGTCCATCCAGAGTTGTCTGAAATGATTTCTCAGCTGACAATCAATGGAATTGTGAACATGTCTGACTACAGCACTAACTGACATGGCAACATGTCAATAGCTTGTTCTTGTCTTTCTCTTTTCATGTGTGGTATGGTGTCGTTTGAGTAAAGCTGCATTTTAAAGTGGCCTTTTATAGTCACTGGGCAAAGTA